GACATCAGTGCTCCAATGTTGAATGCATGTACGCATACAGCCTGCTGATGGTGCTGGTGGTTGCGCATGCATCAGACTCTCCGTATATCAAAGAATGATGCGAAAACCCCAACACTAACCCTAACCCTAACCCTAACCCTAACCCCAACCCGAACCCTAACACTAACTATAAATCGACTCGGATCGACTTATATACACATCTATAGTATCCCAAACACTATCTATGGTGTCAAACAATCTAGACGGACCATAGAAATAATATAGATAACCATAATATAATAACTACTATAATAACTAATATAATAACTAATATAATAACTAATATAATAACTAATATAACTAATATATAACTAATATATAATATAGATAATATAATAATATGTTTATCTATATTATTTTTATGGGACGGTGGTGATCTGACGTCACACTGACGTACACTGACGTCACGCGATCAGACAGGTTCATGGAAACATATATCCACCTCTTTTCTCGCATTTCCAGTCATTGACGCAGCCATTACTCCACAAAAACGTCTTGTTATTTATCGCCATGGTGATGACCCGCCCCTTACGCTGGATGTAGTAACGCTGTAGTAATAACATATCGAGTCAGCGCTACACAGCGGCGACCGGAAGCAACATACAGTGCACAAAACGAGAGACAGTCGCAGTAAAACTGATCTCGAGTCGGTTTTCGGCGAAAATACCAGATTTTCACCGCTCATTATCTCAGCGTAGAGGCATCGTAGGGACATGCTGTTTGTTTTTTAATAACAAGGTAGAACGCAAAAATCGTCAAAATAAAACGGGAAAAGTTTATTAATTCGACTAATACTGCAACATGGTTTCAGCATTTCACCGTTGTACACACCCCTTCTTTATACGCTTTTGTTAGTATACATTTCATCAGCAAGCATTTTCATAGCTTCATCACCAATCATCAAGATCTAGTTAGCATGCACAGGGATTTTCCTGAATTCATCATAACAACGAATATGATACTGTGCCTCAGCTGCAGCTAAATAATGCACACCATGACAACGCATGGCAACGTCCCTACTCCACCTATCATTTCAATCATTGAATTTCCATTAATTGTTCATTGCTGAAAAGTAAAATTTGACCTTGACTTGACCTTTAGCTTCTGACCCTGACCTTCAATCGGAAAAACAACGTCAGAAATGGATTCTAAGCACATAAAACTCCTATAAAAGATGTATTAGGCCCTACACATCATTTTAGGTCAAGTGGTTAAAAAGTTCAATTTTGAAGATGGCGTCCAGCGGCCATTTTGGATTTATGCAAATTACTAGAGCTGCCCAAAGTTTCCATTTGGGCAACCAAGCTGAATTTGTTTTAGGACCCCATATAAGTACAAATCAGCAAAAAAACTTTATAGGAAAGTATATTTCTAGGTTGGGTATTTACAAGGTGTGTAATCCACCTCCTTTCCTAATTTTATGACGACATTAGCTGCGTTGACCAACCATTGTTTGATCAAATTGTCTATGTTCACCAACCATTTTTTGAGGAAATTGCCTGTGTTCATGCATCAACCATCGCCGGGGTCTCAATGTCGAGCGAACATGGCCGCCGGAGGCCGTGCTTCATTCCTATGCACCAGGTTCAATTCTAACACATTCCTTTTTGTTATTGATGCCGTTAAATGTGTAAAAAAACACATTTAAAAAATCTATTGGAAAATCTCCCTGGAAAACATGCACGATTCAGTTCACTTCCGCTAGGTGCGCTGGCGTAAACTTACAAACACCATAGATATAATATACAACACGTGTTGTATATATCTATGCAAATACCCAACCACAGAGTATAATGTATACAGTAGTCAATGACGTCAAAGTACAGTGGTTACGCTGGACACACGCAATGGCTCCAGTATCCAGATGAGACGGGATACTAGAGAAGCGTTGCCGAAAGGAGGTGTTGATCCGAAGCGCTAAGCGCAGATCTTGCGCACAGTTCCGCAGCAAGGCGCACGCGACCGCGGGAACGTCCTACGACAGTATGCAGCGCTAGCAGCTATGGATCCGTGCGCCGAATGCATAGGTCGGCGCACGGATCCATAGCTGCCAGCGAACAGTCGAGAATTTTACCGGGAATACAATGAAAGAGCTCAGCTGCATTGAGCTGCTGTTGTTTGCAAGTTCAATGAAAATATCAATAAAAGTGTCAACAGTTTTTACTTCTACACTGTGTCAATAATATATTCATATCAAAACAGGAAAAGAAGGGAGTAATTACACGAAAATATGACTCAATCATTTCAATCATTAGTAGTATGACTAGTATAGCAATAGAATTCGAGCGTGAATGCAGAAAAGATAAACGCATAAAGACGCGTAAGAAGTGAGTAAACATTATTTGACATTGTAATCTATATTGAAAGGAATAATAGGCGCATTGTTTATGAATGTTGAGGAATGCTACAGTAACTGGGACCTTGTGTAGTTCATTACGTTATAGCGAAACGTGTATTACTTTGTCCAATATCACTGCTGGTTACTAAGAAATGTCTAATTGAAATGCACAGTGCAACAAATGAGTTGACTGACTTGTTTACAGTTTCGAAACCGCATACGGCGAAACGGGTGACATACAAATTTATAGTGCACTGGACATTTCCGCACGCATGCTGGGCCGTACGCAATGGTAGCGATAGTACGTACAGTGCCGTAACTCTATACGTAACAGTAGCTCTGATTGTAATGAACGTCGAATGGACGTAGGAATGACGGGCGCTCGTCATCAATTCTGTGGTGAAAACCTGTAGGAACATGTGACGTGACGTAACCGAATTGGACGCTATTTTGGTTGGCAAGGAATTTAGCGTTGGCACCGGATTACCACATTTACGGATTTGAATTAGACATTTCTTAATAATTAGCAGTGATATTGGACAAAGTAATACGCGTTTCGCTATAAGGTAATGTACTAATGAACCAAACAAGGTGCCAGTTACTGTAGCATTCGTCAACTTTGCATAATCAATGGGCCTATTATGCTGTAGCAGGTTTATAATTTGTATGTTATTAGATTAAGCAGTTGTTCAATGTGTATATATCATGATTGAATGTACTCGCGCATATCACGTGTAGCGGAAATAATTTGCATGATCGAATTTGCATAATTGTTGTTATTCCACCATAGCAAATCAGAATCGTTTTTACGTAATCGCACTAGCCAATCACGGTAGTGATTGCATGTGAGGCTCACGAGGGCTAGGTGCGCCATAGAGTACCGAAGTGTGATGTCACGGTGTCATGACAACGAACCCACTGGTTCTACACAACCCACTGGCTCCATAACATTAACTGCGTGAAAATGTTGTACGTACGTAAAACACCAGTGTGCGCGCTGCAGACAGCGGTAAAGAATCGGTAGCAAGTCGATCTTACAATATTTAATTAATTAATTTTTTATTTTTTTTTATTTTTATAATTTTTATTTTTTTTCTTTATTGTCTTTTCTACTTCCTACTCCTTGGAATCTATAAAAACTAAGTCAATAATAGACTCTCAGAATAGTATAGGTTTACGTAATCG